CACCTTCTCCCCAAGATGTGTAAGTATACCAAGTTTGGTAGTGCTAGCTAGGTCAATTAGGGGCCAAGTTAGAGAGCGGAAGGGAAATATGATCAAGGTCAAGGTAAAGGTCAAATAAAGGTCGCAGTGACCAGGTTTTGGTACTCTGTACACCTTCTCCCCAAGATGTGTAAGTATACGAAGTTTGGTCGCGCTAGGTCAATTAGATGTAGAGTTATAGAGCAGAAGGGAAATATGATCAAGGTCAAGGTAAAGGTCAAATAAAGGTCGCAGTGACCTGGTTTTGGTACTCTGCACACCTTCTCCCCAAGATGTGTAAGTATACCAAGTTTGGTCACGCTAGGTCAATTAGGGGTCGAGTTATAGAGCGGAAGGGAAATTCTCTGCGGCAGACCGAGCGGCGGCGGCTGGGGAGACATGAAACCATAGTATCCCCGCCGACTTCGTCGCGGGGGATACAATTATTATTACCAATCTTCTAGCAGCAAGAAATATCAATATAGGTACAACAAATATATATACAAATGATGCAATTTTAAGTTCCCCAACGTTTACTCGTGTATTGGGGCCGGTAATGACATGCGTAATTGATTTCAATTGATACAACCCCCTCCTGGGCCCTCTCCATCCGCCCATAAACGAAATGCCTTCTGAAATTTCTGGAGGAAACACCAGTCACCATAGAGTGACTTCAAGTAATAAAAATAATGAACACCAATAACAACATGCAGCAGCTCTATATAGATACAAGAATTACTCTACACCTACCCGAGGAATCTCCCTAGTTAGTCGCTTTCTTTCTTTCTCCTCCTGCAGTAGACCTCCTCCTCTATTGGTGAATCTATTTGGATCACTTGCTCTCTTCTGCAAGTATCAAGTTTCAAGATGTTTGATACTCAAATCCAGCTTAGTTCATACGTAGTAGCATTACTCATAATACAACTACAGGGCGCGAAATTAGTACCGGCCCATCGCTAAATTATTTGGAGGGCCAGTAACATGGACAAAACACCGGCCCTCCGAGCCGGTGGGTTCAGCCGTGTTAGCGAGTACATGGGTCATACAGGAGGGCTGAAAAATTTTTCAAGGACTTTTCAAGGACATTTTATCAGAATTCATACACAGAACAAAACATACCTGAATTAATTTAATAATAACCCCATTCTTAATCACTGTCACCTCTAAAACTTACCTGGGTCATATTAATAAACCCTTCTAAACACTGTCACTTCTACAACATACCTTGATTTACTGACTGATTTTACTGAGTGTAATTTGTGATCATCATTTAACTGTCTATCATGTCTATAGCTTTTTAAGCTCATTTAACGCAATTTTTATTGAGGTTTGCACATTATTGATGGTAAAAAATTTATTTTTATTACAGGCAAGGATTCTTTCTACAAACTCAGACATTTTCATGAAATTCAAGGACTTTTCAAGCACAAAATCAACATTTACTAAATTCAAATACTTTTCAAGGACTCCCCTCAAATTCAAGGACTGTGCGAACCATGGAGTACCTACATTTTTATTTATAGCATTAACGAGCAAATAGCCTACAATGCTGTTTTACCTGAAGGATATCACACCATAATTTATCAACATTTTACAGTTGGAATCGAGAATGCAAGCGTGAAACATGACATTGACAAAAACACTTTGGACATCATTCACGATCTGTATTATAGTCTGTTCAACAGCTACTACGCGATGCCGCACAATACAACATTTTCCGGACAAGCAAGAGTCAGTCTTATCTTTGTGAAAAAATTTGTGAGGGTTGGTCAAAAACTGCAGTTACCAGCCCTCTGGGCCAGTGCAAAAAAATCTGAATTTCATGCCCTGCAACTATAATCCATTTAGCCTGACATGGTGTATAAATAACCACACTGTAGTACACCTGAAACGAATACATTTGTTTCCTAAAATGTAAAGCAAATGTGTTTTTTATACATTACCTCAAATTCAACAAACTTGTCCCATAGTTCTTTACGCTTGTGCACATCAATGTAGAGCAGTTCGTGTTTGGCATAGTGCGCCTTCACCTTCTCCAGTTCTGCCTCATGTGCTTCGAGAAGCTCTTCTGTATACTCATCTGTCAAAAATTAATGCATCTCTTATGAATACATTACCTTTCACATAGTCACTAAAGGAAATACCACGTTCGTATTACTCATTTCTCATGAAAACATGTCTGTACTCATAGTTATCACACGACTATATCAACTATACCATACTTCATACTTTCTAGAAGCTCATGGACTATAATTAATATGTGTTGGTGAGAGCTGTGACGCCTACAACCGAATAGATTACTCATTAATAAGTTCAAGGAATTTCAAAACCCATTCACAGCTTCCCAATTAAGACAAGAAACGTGAGAGATACGTTCGGATTAGAATTTACAAGATTGTGAACTCTAATCCGAACATACCTTTCTTTTTATGATTTCATAACTACCATTGGTGAATGAACTGAAGTCTGCACGCTGGCTCACGCTGTAGTAACACTTCTCCCACCACATGTGCAATTCATTTCGGATCTGCTTCACAAATTTCTCGATGTTCTGCCTTTTCAGGAGTTCACAACGTGCGATCTCTTCTTTCAACTGCAGTAGAAAAAAACGATACCCATTTATGATTGTATTCTTGCAGGTGCATGAAAATAATGAGTTCTGATATGGTAGGAGATGCAGCTCGGATAAACATGAGGAATCAACGAGGGATCGTTTTAGAACCGTATTAGCCAGCGAGCCATACAGCCGTGATTTGCACGGTCAGTTTTGAAACTGCACGGCAAAAAATATTGATCTAAAGCCATGTACATTTGTAAAATTGCACTCCCAAATATTTTTCTGCACTCCCACAATACTCATTCGTGGCAAAAAATTCCTAACCCTGTGAGGAATACAGACACAAATGACTGTATCATATAATCTATCATTATATTATATGAATGGAGAAATTACCGACAAATGTCTTTGTCATGTGTTAAGATAATATATTGTGATCTAAAAATTTCAAACATCACCAATCTTCATTCATTCTCATTTTATTGAGTGTATATAACAAAACAAAAATCCATAGAAGCATATACCAATAACATATTACATAAGACAACTTACAGCTTCAATTGCCTTTGGCCTGGATCCAGTGTTTTGCTTGAAGAAGCCTTCTCGCTCTTCCTGTGGAATTTGAAGCCTATCCCAAAGCGATGTGACAGTCTCTCTTAGATTAGTGGCAACCTCCGTGTTCAACCTCACTTTCTCCTCCAGCTAAAGTCCATGTTAACAAGAGATTGAGATAATATATAGACATCATCTTTGAGATAACTATTCTGTTTGTGATAATTGGTACTTCACACACAGGCCTATTTCCAGGGTGTTTGGCATTTATATTATATATACACACACCTCCGTTGTCCATTTTATGTACATATTGTCGATCATGCAAACAGTTGAGGGTGCACACAGTACTTAGTTTAACACTTGCCTCATCTTGCAGTAGAGAGAGGGCCTGCATATTCTCTTTCGACAGCACAAACACATCATCGTCACGTAGGATGTCTATCTCAAAGGATGTATTCGGCAGTTGCTCAAGTTCCTGCATGAGTTCCCCGATGGCCACTTTGTTGGCCACGTAGGTTTGGAAACGCATGTTCTTGAGTATTAAAAAAAGAGACCCATTACATTAATTTTTAAGGTACACATAATCAGGGGTAGAAATGAACTTTTGAACAAGGGAGTCCAACCTATAATCCCTACCCTCAAAAAGAGGGAGTTTGCAGCAAAATGAGGGAGTCCGCAGCAAAATAAGGGAGTCCGCAGTCTGAGGTTCAAAATTAAAGATATTAACAATAATGCATGTGCTTATTTTTAAGATTTATACAGTTGCACGTCTACCTAATTTTCTTTGGACATTAGCTGAAAAAAATTGTACAGTAATTCCGCGAGGCCGTTTTCGGAACGAACTAGTTCGTATGGCAGAATTTTCAGGGAGTCACACGCATATATGTCAAATCAGGGAGTCCGACAGTAAATCAGGGAGTATTTGACTCCGGACTCCCGTTAATTTCGCACCCTGCATAATGCTTCAGTGTCAGTATTACATTAGGTGGCTTATGTGGTGCACATGTGGCCACAAAAAAAAACAAAGTTTGAGCTGGTTATATTGAAAGCAATAGTAAGTTATATTACATAGTAAACGAGGACCCATGTAGAACTTTATTAAAAATTGGTACCAGCTACTAACCCAGCATATTTTCAACATTGAGTAACAATAAGCCTGCTATTGGTCACAAGAGGTTTAACCCCCCCCCCCCAAATGAGAGGTGAATCAATGTATACATCCCATAAGAGAGGACAGACAATAATGCGTCTCCCTGTGATCGTTCCCAATATCACTGCTGAAAGCCCACCAACCAATGTACCTTTTCGATGGTCAGCTTGTTTATGTGATCCTGCACAGCTTCAAGCTGCTCCTTAGCAGGTACAGTCGTCACCGAGATGTAGACAGGAGTCTCACACAGTGCCGCGCACAGCTTCTGGTCTTCTTCACGCAAAGCCTTTGCATGCCTCAGCCGCTCATGCTTGATTTTATTGAGTGCATCCGTGTGGACTCTCAGCTCATTCTCCAACATTAGCAGAGATAGCCCAGAATCTGGCTGCAATATTATATGAAGATTAGAATGTCTGTCTCATATATCATTGCATAACCAACCAAAAAAGATTTAGTTTCATGTATTGTATAGCATTGCGATAGACATATATTTATAAATCACAAACGTACAAGATTAAATTAGAAGTGTTTCCTTTTACATTGATGTGACAAACGAAGTGCAGTGCACATTATGGAATTGTTATCATGCTATATTATATTTGTACAAACTTGTCTAGTAGCAGTCAAACTCATTTACCTCATACTCAGCTTCATGCAATTCATTACATAGTTTATGAAGCTCCTTCCCACACTGCTCCACGCTGGCGAGCAATCTGTTACGCAGTCTTTCCTCTTCAGCAACCATCTCATCAAGTAGATTCTAAAAAAGTAAGACAATAAGTTCAAAACTTAATGCTATTCAGATTTAATATTGTACAGTTGTACTACTATTATTAAGAAACTGAAATGGTGCTGAAATAGTCATAACACATGCAGGGTTAGAAACTATTTCAGTAGCAGTATTTGCTGCCAGAAAAAAAGAAAGCAGCAAACTTAATCAACCAGATGAGACGGGATACTAGACAAGCGTTGCCGAAAGGTGTTAATCCGAAGTGCTGCGCGATCTTGCGCGCAGTTCCGCGGCAAGGCGCACGCGACCGCGGGAACGTCCTACGACAGTATGCAGCGCTGGCAGCTATGGATCCGTGCGCCGAATGCATAGGCCGGCACACGAATCCATAGCTGCCAGCGAACAGTCCGCAATTTTAGTGGGGGACAATTTTAGTGGGGGAACGTTTTCGCAACGTTCCAATGGCGAGGCTCGTACGCGAGTTGGAAAGCAGTGCGCCGCCTGCCCGCCGCCTATAGCCCATAGACTGGCACTCGCTGCCACCTCTCGACTTAGCTTAGTCACTCAATGGCTAAGCGAGGTGGGAGCGAGGGGGGGGTGTAAAAACCCTGGGTACGGTACACACACGGAACACTGGTGGGTACACACACGAAGGCACGCACTCGCGACGGGCAGGGCATGTCGTTTTTCTGACGGTCACCGTCAAGGTAACTGGGAGCAGGCGAGTTGCAGGTTTTTGTGCCGCCGTGGATTCCGTGAAGCCGTGCTCTGGAACAAACTTGTTAGTATAGCAGAATTTTTAGGGAGTCCGACAGTAAATCGGAATATTTGACTCCGGACTCCCGTAAATTTCGCACCATGATTGTCAAATGAATCACCCATGATGACCAAATATGCCATATTTTCCGCGAGTTCAGACTTGACGGACTATTTTGCGAGTGGTGAATTATGAATTATTCGTGTGTTGTTATTTTCGCGGTCAGGGACGCGTTCGCGAAATTCGCAAAAATTAAACCACCGCGAAATATACAACAATAAGATAACAGGTTTCTGAGGAACATGGGATTAATATTAATATGAGATAAAAATTGCAAATTATGCAAGAGGAAAAACTTGAATAATCTCATGATGAACTTGCCATGACATGGTGAATGACCACCATTACTCGCTCTTTTTTCTGGTCTTCTAGGATTCCTATATCGGTCCATATTGTTTGAAGCCTGTTCAGGGTTTCTTCTAGCCGTGTCGCAATCTCCTCCTTTACTGAATCAGTAATGTTAACAGCCAACTCCCTGTAGAAATAAAAACATTTATCATCACAATGCAACGAATTTATGTGCGATATATACGTTTATAATTATAACAAATGCACGCTCGAGAGATCGCTACATTTCTGTGAGTTGTTGCACAGTGGAGTGTGTGCGATGAGATACATGTGTGTTGCAGATGAGTATTTGAACGTCACAGTTTACGTATATTAGTTAGATGATAGAATTAGTGGCTCAAGGATAGAGAGCATGTCCAGTAATGAACATCATCCTACCCTAGCTATCACCGTCCTGGACATCACCTCTATCCTTGAACCGAATTGGCTATAGTACGTACTCAGGGTTCTCCCCAGGATAAAATTGAAACAGGGGAAGGGGCAGGAGAGGGGGGGAGGGGGAGGGAAAACTAGGGGCGTCCGGGAGCCTGGTCGAATCACTGGCAGCAAGAACAAGTCCGCACCTGCAGCTACAACACACACGCATCTATTGACTATATATAACAACATTATATATATAATAGTTATATATAACTACTATAACAACTATAGCTAATATAACTACTATATAACAACTATATATAACGTTGTTATATATAGTCAATAGATGTGTGTGTGTGCTGTAGCTGCAGGTGCGAACTTATTCTTGCTGCCAGTGGGTCGAATGAGAATTCTTGCCGTGGTGGCCCCTCAATTGCCAGTAGCAACAGCGCCTCCAAAGCTGACTCACTCAGCCTGTTCCTCATGTGTAGCCATTCCCATTAAAAAAAAAATTAAATAATCGGGGCGGAAATAATTTAAACGTGGCGCAACGATTGAAACAGGGGGAGGGGAGTTTCCCCAAACGGGGTGGGTGCGCCCGGTTTGCCCAACATAGGGAGAAGCCTGGTACTATAGTACTGATTAGAGCAGCGATCGAGTAAAATGCCATAGCAAATGCTGCTAATACAAAATAAATTTTGCATAGCAATTGGATAAATTTTGTATAGCATTTTTTTTCAGACACATCTCTCTCGTACAAATTTACAAACCGCAGTGCATGATTGGCCGTGTTATCGTGTCCTGCCTGTGACCAGGCACAGCTTACCTTAAGCCTAGGATCACCACTAGCCGATTCTGCACGCTGCCCGCGGCAGCGTTTAAACAGCGTGCGAGACTTGGCACATCTCGTCCGCTCGCACAATTGTCGAGTGAAATAATATCGGGCCGGGCGAGTGAAAGCTAAAGCTGACCGCCCATGTTTTAGGCGATAAAAATAATGTCTAGAACTTTAATTCAAATGTTGGTTCCTTAAAAACCCACGGACTACCTAATATCATGCCAAGACATTTGATGAAATACAGTTCTACGCGATTGTGAAGCGGCGCTAGTCCTGACTCCTCCGACCACGACATCCTCGACTTTATATTATCAAAGGTCGCGAGAAAAGCAAGGCCCGCGAGAGCCGTGCACGCCAGCACAGCGTGCTGTGTATACGTGCCTGCGGGCTGGGCCGATATTGATTGATGTATGGGGGGGGGGAGGTGGTGTGAGCACGGTAGCACACAAAGACGACATAGTGTACTATCTAAGAAGTACACTACGAATGATCATGGCTCTGAGTCTATAGGTGTTAAGCAAATTCCAGATAAAATCGCGTATACGTGGCATCTTGTCATTTGAGCTCCTAGGAGTCAGTACCTATAACAGGGAGATAATTTTCCCGGTATCGCATCGCAATTCCGATGTTTGATTGTTCAAGCCTAGGCCCGGCGTCGCGGCCAAGCACCCGAAGAAAATAAAAAGGTATAAATTGTAAACATCGTTATGTTTCCCAGCTTTGACATCTCGATGGCTGGCATCGCACCACACTGCCGATCATAAAAAAAATAATGCGAGTAGCACAATGGGGGCCTGAAAATACAATCGCGAATTGCGAGTGGATACCGGGAAATTATTCCCTGTATAGTAGCTCGATTAGAGCACGCGACCTCGATGTTATGTCAATGTATGTATGTATGTACTATGTCGTATTGTGTCGTCAAACTAAATATTTGGTAATAAACTCTTTTGACACGTGAAATACAATTTTAGTGTTCATATTTACCAAAAGTTTTATTTAAAGCGAAGTGTTTCTAAAACAACCGGATCCGGTTCGGAGTCCTGAAACTAAACAACCGCGCGAGCCAACAACTAGCCAACATCTTCTCTGATTTATTATTTTTTGATTGATTGATTTAAAATTATTTTTGGCTAATTTTATTATATTTTAGAATTAGGGATAGGGTTCTAGGGTTATAGGGTCTATATCCAACACTCTTTAAGTTTGTCTGAGTGACGCTCAAACGTAAAGCTTCTCGCTTCGTGATAGGCAGAGTGATAGTTCATTAATGGTACTGTGTTCGACCCGCATAACCCCTGACCAGCCCCCCCCCAATCCTGTTTAATGTTCAGAACTGTCCAACTGACCTAAATCAGAGAAGAGAGCCGGTTGTTTAGTTTTAGGACTCCGAAACCGGGTCCGGTCGTTGTAGACACTGCCTGATTAAAACGGTACGAAAATTTCTGGGGTGCGAAGAACTGCTGCTGTATATGGTTGAGTGAAAATAATAGTTCTAAGGCATGCTTTCTGAGTTCAGGGGGCAGTTTTCACAAAGCTGATCGTAAAAACGCCATCCTAAGATATCCTTAGAATCTTGTACGAGAGCCTAACCTGTCTTAAACGTCCCTCCGTTAAAAGTTGTTTCAGCGAACTTATGCGCGTGCGTTGTTAGACGGTCCCTTAAATTGCAGCTGTAACGATGTTGGCTGGCCGCAATAGACTGGTACCCTAATCTCTAGCACGTGACATCTGCTAGCTAGATAGTCTATATATATATAGAGGACATGTTACAAGTCTAATGGGGCGACGCCAGCTCACTGTGAGTTCTACGCTAATCCTCTCGCGTGCATTATAGTTTTAATATAATATGTATGGTACAACAAGCCGTGCAAAAACTAAAAATAATAAGTTAAAAGTATTTTTAATGCCAAGTAGCCTGAGAAATAATTAAACTAAAGCAGGTTGTCCCTATTTCCTGAACCACACAAATGAGCGAGTATTGACTGAACAAAAATGTAACATAAATTCTGAAGGTTTAGATTTACGCTTGACTTTGATAGCAGTATTGGCGGCCAATAGAATACAGCTAGTGCATAACATACGCTATAGCACATACCCGCCATAGCATACATACACGAACAGCCGCAGAGCACGCGCACATGTAAGGTGCAAGGAAGCATTTCATCTCTTCAAAATCTGCTACCGCAAATAAGAAGCTTCTTAGCCACACTTATTATAAACCCCCTGCGTGTCCAATGCCTTCACAGGCGCTTGCACCAGTATTCTCCGAAAAAAAAAAAAAAAAAAAAAAAAAAAAAAAAACACAGAAAGTTACCTTCTCGGCGGGTTTTTCGGCTTTAAACACTACGGCTGCCCAAACAATGAAAACACGCGACGAAATCGTGCGTGCTTGATGTACGATAGCCAAGTACTGCCGCTGACCTGTCCTTTAATATTTTCTGCCCTTATAGCAACGTCGTTGAAGTTAGGCGAGACGTATGTGAAACGTGGAAATTCTATGCGGAGGAGTATGGTGACACTCTATATATAAGGTATCTAAAACCGCTCTTTAACCAATAAGCTACTTAACGCAGCGCCTTCAGAACGCGGCCAGGCCCTGGTCCCTTACGTAACCCTATACATACCTCATAGGGTAAAAAGGCGCAAATCCACTTTGAGGCACCTTAGGTATCATGAAGTGATGCACAGCCGGGCATGTCTGTGTATCACTCAACTGATCACAACTTCCCGTGCTTCCGGTATATTCAAGGAATGATGCAGAGAACCGCGCTAAAACTCTAATCATAAAAAGTATAACCTTAGCTCTTAGTATCAGAAGTGTGTTTTGGGCTTAGGGCTAGGGTTTTTGGCATCATTCTTGATATACGAAATTCTGGTGCATTCTGACGGAGCACCAGCATCGCTCAGCTTGGATGACTACACGAGAAATCTGTGCATCACTTCGTGATAGCTAAGGAGGCCGTAAAAGTGGATTTGCACCATATAAAATATATAAACCATGAATACTACAAGCAACCTTAACTTAAACGAGCGCTCATGGAAACGGCCCCTTACCTAAACCTAAACATACCTCATCATAAAATATAAACGTAATGCACATAGTAATTACTGAAGCAATTTAAAAACTACCGATCGGGTACATATCTGTAGTAAACCACGGTACGGCTCATGGAAGGCGGTCTTAATGTTCCCCAGGTAGGGAGTACCTGCGAGAGAACGGTACCCTGTAGGAGGTCCGGGATATCCCGAGAGACGGCGAAGGGTGATGATAGTACCTGTCACTATTTGAAGTATGGTTAAGGTTCGGAGTTTCGGGTTAGGGGTAAGGCGTAGGCCGACTTCCCTTAAGACTCGTTAGTGGAGGATCGGTTAGGAGCACAGAGGTACCCGGTGGTTGGCGACATGATTAGATAGTACGAAAACAAGCGTAGGGGTACGGCTAGGATTCCGTACCCCCGCAGTAACCCGCTCCGTCGCGCCGGGGGACGCGGATGACACATACACGACCGCCGTCTTCGCGTCGCGTGTGCGAGTGAGCGCGTGCGCGGTATCACGACCGAAGACGTACCGACCATCAGGCAGCCACTTATCGTTGCGAGCGCGAGGTCACCCGGCGAAGTAGCCTGTAGGCCTAGACGCACGCTATTTGAGTCGTTCAATGACTATTTCCCAACTAGTAGTAGTAGTACTAATATAGTAGTAACTAATTATAAACTACTAAATACTCATGGCTGCCGAGCTTTATTATATACCGTCGTTACTCCGATAACCGATAATGCCAGTACTTAGTTAGACTACACTTCAGCCACTAAGGCTAACCAGATGACCCAGCCGGAGAGAAGAAGGCGCTCAGACGACGACGGCGGTGCCTGACAGAGCGGAACTACAGCGGGACCCTAATCCTGCTTGGGTTTGGGGTTAACATTATTGTATCGCTAGCCCAGTTACTATACGTCACTCACTAGTACTACTAGCGCCGATCTGCTAGCTTTAATACATTTCTTACAGTTAGTGAGTTAACACCCGTCTAGAAAGTGGTGACATTGTTATGGACTATATTGTTAAAACTTAGGCCTACAAATTAGCAATGCAAAATCATATTCAATGTTCTAGGAATCTACGGAAATGAACCAACTATATGTTCAATTAACTTCTCTGGCTTTAGCCACATATAATTAAAATACTCGAGTACTTACATTTTAGGTAGCCTATACTGTTCGTTTTGTCCGCAAAAAACTTCATAATACGGTTGAAATAATGCTTGTATTCCCGAAACATTCGTCGACAAAACCAGAGCACACGTTAGCGAACCGACTTACAGAGGTGAAACAATTGTATCGCCAGATCTCTCTCGAACAACAACAACTCCCGCGGACTCATCGGCAGCACGGCGCACGGAGCGCACACACGGCCCACCCAGCCACGCGCCCGCGAGTGTCGGCCGAGGAAGGAGGAAAAGAGAGAGATTGGCGATAACCGAATTTTCAAACATTGTAATCGGCTCCGTATAACGTGTCTTCTGTTTTGTCACGAAATTTGTTCGGGGATACACAGCATATTTTTCACCGTATTTATAGAAGTTTCTTTTGGAGCAAAACCGAACAGCAATATTACCCAGAAGAGCAGAGTATGCCCGTTAAAATGTAATACTCGAGTAAATATTTTTATTATATGTGTAAACAAGTGTAGGTGTCTTGGAAATAAGTAAGTTTCCATTCCTAATTCGGCTAGAACACTTGATTGATTTTGCATTGTAATTTGTAGGCTAAGTTAACCAATATTGTCAATCAACCAATTCCACCACTTTCTAAGACGGTGTAACTACTAACTGCGTAAGAAATGTATAAAAGACTAGGCAGATGCGCTAGTAAGTACTAGTAGTATTATAGTACTGGCTAGATACAATAATGTACCCAAACCCAAGAGGATAGGTCCTATCCTCTTGGTCTTGGGTTAAATTATTGTATGCTCAACTAAGTAGCTGGCCTATCGGTATCCGGTACCAGACGGTATAAATAAGCTCGGGCAACCAATAGTATTTAGTAGTTTATACATTACGTTATACTACTACTCATACTACTACTACTAGTTGGAAATATATGAACGACTCAAATAGGTCGTCTAGGCCTACAGGGCTACTGAGTACTGTCGCAGATGGGGTCGTTGTCGGTATCAGCGTACTCACAGCCGAGAGGGTCTCCATGTCCCCCCGGGTACTGGCCGGAACGTACCCTGTACCCTGGTACTCATCTAATATCCGAACCGTACCTCGCCTACTCCACTAACCGAGGAGTGAGTCTAGGAAAGTCGCCTACCGTTCTACTCCCTACACCCGAACCCGAGAACCCGTAACCGATATCAAATAGTGAGCCAGGGTAGTTCTCGGTATCCCCGGACCCTAACCCAGGGTACGTTTCGGCAGTACCCTGGGGGACATAGACCCTATGAGCCGGTACTACAGATATGTACCCAGGTATTTAAAATTGTTTAGTATTACTAGTCATTAGCGTTTATATTCTCTATAGTGAGGTAACTGTTTACGGTTTAGGGTAAGGGGGACCGTTTCATGAAGCGCTCGTTAAGTTAAGGTGTTTAGTATTATGTTTATATTTTTTATCTTTTTTTTTATTATATTTTTTTTATTTTTTTATTTTTTAATTATTACCTTTTTATTTTTTTTTTATTTTTATTTTTATTATTTTAAATACCCTGGTGCCAATCCACTTTGCTCTTAGGTATCACAGTGATGCACGAGGATTTCTGTGGTATCTCAACTGATGTCACGGCAGAATTTCCGTATATCAAGGAATGATGCAAAAACGCCTAGCCCTTCCCCAACACACTTCGTGATACCTAAGGAGTAGTTATACTTTATGAACTTAGACGTTAAGGGTTTTTGTGGCATCATTCCTTGATAAATGAACGGAATCTGTGCATCAGTTGATGATACACAGCACATCTGTGCATCCACTTTCATCGATACCTACAGGTGCCTAAAGTGATTTGCGCCTTTTTTATATGAGGTATGTTTAGGGTTAGGGTAGACCAGGGGCTTGTTTCGTGAAGCGCTCGTTATTTAGTGAAATTCGGTTAGATGGGGGTTTAGATAGTCCTTATATATAGGTGTTTCAGAAGCGCCTGGCAAGTTTCCACGTTTCACATACGTCCCGGCTAACTCAACGCTGTTGCTATTAAGAGAATATTAAGCGAAGGTCAGGGGGCAGTACTTTAGGCTTATCGTACATCAAAGGCAAACGCACGGAATTTTCCCACGCGTGTTTTCATTGTTTGGGCAGGCCGTAGTGTAAAGCGAAAACCCGCCGAGAAAGGTAACTTCTGTGTTTACGAGAATATGGTGCAGGCCTGTGAAGGCATGACACCGCGGGGGGTTATATAAGTGTGGCCTAAGAAGGCTTCTTATTGCGGTAGGCGCAGACTTTTGAAGAGATGAAATGCTTCTTGCACCTTTCCACATGTGGGCGTGCTTCGCTGTTCGTGTACTGTATGCTATGGCGTTGTGCTATTACGGTACTGTAATGCATCTAGTATCCTAGGCGCCAATACTGTATCAAAGTCAACGTTAAATCTAAACCTTCAGAATTATGTTACAGTTTTGTTCAGTGTCAATACTCATTTGTGGTGGTTCAGGAAATAGACAACTTAGCTTTAGTTAATATTTCTCAGGTATGGCATCTTAAAAATACTTTTAACTTATTATTTTAGTTTTGCCACCGCTGTCGTACCTAGCCATATTGATATTACAAACTAAATGACTCGCGAGAGATTAGTAGCATCACGTGAGGCTGGTCGCCATTAGACTTGTAACATCGTCTCTATATATATATAGCTACTAGTAGCAATGTCACGTGTAGAGATAGGGTAAGTCTATGCGGCCACAAAAACATCGTTAGAACAGCTGAATTTTAAAGGACGTCTAAACAACGCACGCCGGGCATAAAGTTTCGTTGAAACACTTTAACGGAGGGACGTTTAAGAGACAGCGGTTAGGCTCTCGTACAAGAATTCTAAGGATATCCCTTAAAGATTAGGCGTTTCTTTTACCGATAGCTTTGTGAAACGGCCCCCCTGAAACCTCAGAAAGCATGCCTTAGAACTATTTATTTTCACTCAACCAATACAGCACAGTTCTTGCACAGAAATTTTGTACGTTTTAATAAGGCCAGTGTCTAAACGACCGGACCCCGGTTCGGAGTCCTAAAAACTAAACAACGCGCTTCTCTTCTCTCTTGAATTGGTCAGTTGACATTCTGAACATAAACAAGGGATGGGGGGGAGGGGCGCGGTCAGGGTTATGGGGTTCGAACAACCAGTACTTTAATTAGCTATCACACTCTGGCTATCACGAAGCGAAAGCTTACCGTCTGAGCGACTCAGACAACTTAAAAGTGTTGGATATAGACGCCTAATACCTAACCCTATCCCTAATTCTAAAATATATAAAATTAGCCCAAAAATAATTTTAAAATCAAATTATCAATCATCAAAAATAATAAATCAGAGAAGATGGTTGGCTAGCTTGTTGGCTCCTCG